CAAAAAAAAAAAAAAAAAAAAAAAACACAAAATGGGTACAAGCATAGATGTTTAAAAGGCAATCTCCCAGATGATCATTGAGCAGAATAAAAACAATATTCCTCTAGACATGGGCTTTTGAACAGCATTACAGTACCAGACATGAAATTCCCTTCCGTGGATCATGTCTCGAAATCCAGTCAGATGCGCACTAGTAGTCACGTCTTGCCTGGCAGGTCCACATTGCAGCATGCAAAGCCCAGCTCTAGGTAAGATCTTTGGTTTGTTTTCTCCCCCAGCAGCTTGCATAGCACCTTCCAGCATCATGAAAGAGCCAGCTGGAAGTTCCCAAGTGGTTTGATACTGATTTCTCTAGGTCCTGCCTGTAGCCTGTTGTGTGGTGTCTTTAGCATTAGGGTCCTGGCATATAGTCATGGTGGACAACCGCAGGAACAGTTAACAGCCTGTGTGGTTTCCGGAGACCTCTGGAGCAGTCCTGACCAATAACTTGTGGGGACATTTCCCAGGCCTTATGCTTCTCCCTGTAAACCTGGGCTGTTCTCAGTCTTGTCAGAGAAGCCTCTTTCTGCCATGGACAGCAGTTGGTGTGGACACAGAACCAGGCGAAGTGCTGAGAACAAGAGACACGCGCTCAGCCCTGTATCAACCCGAGCACCAAGGCTCAGGTAACACCAGGGAGGCGGCGGCAGGGAGGAGAGCTCCGAACATAGTCATGAGCTCATGGCACACAGGTTACCTGCACAAAGCCTATCTATACAAGCTCAAGCCAGCCACAAGCACAAGGGAGGGGTAGACAACACCCAGGCCCCACCTCTTTCCGAGGAGCTACAGGCAGTGGATCATTGCTGGCGAGGAAGAGCTGTCTTTTAAGAGATTATTTACATGTATGTGTGTCTCCATGTCTGCCACGTGCGTGGGTGCCCACAGAGGCCAAAAGACATCCTTTCCCCTGAAGCTGGAGTTACATGTGGTTATAAGCTACCTGATGTTATGATGGGAACCAAACTCAGGTCCTCTAAATGGACAGCAAGCACTTTTAGCTACTAAGTCATCCTTTTTTGAAGATGTAGGTTTCCCAGTGGATGTTCACTCTTATGCATTTATGGGCAGCACTAACTGGACCAAGTAAGTTACATATAAAAGACATGAAGTTGGAAATGTGTGTTGAGGGTGGTGGAATAGATATATTTCATTATGAACATGTATGAAAGTCTCGAAGGAAAAATGTTTCATAAAACAGTGAAATCAAAGGCTCCAGAGTTAAGCTGGGAAGGCTATTGTCAAGCATCCGACAAGGGACTAGACATTCACTTTAATAGAACCCTCTCACTAGGCATGTGGCAAGAAGGCCCACAAAACTCTCAGAAGAAACATTTACTCTTTGTTTTGCTAAATAGATTATTCTCATCACAGGATGTATTGCTCTGAAAATATTTTTTTTAAACAAAGACTGATTCCATTGCAGAAACATTTCCTTCACATAAACAGAAACAAGTTCTGTTTCTGTAGAAGAGTCGGGTCTCAGAACACTCCTTTAGCAGATGTGAGGGCCGGGAAGGCACCGGACACACCTTCAGGCTTGAAAGGGACTAGGGATCCCTGGACTCAGGGGTAGGCGAGTAATCCCAGAATTGTGGCCGCTGCTCAAAAGATACACGAGGATGTCTCTGTCCAGGACTTAGCACAGGACTTAAACCAGGAGAGACGGCTGTCTGGCAACGGTAGCAATTCCTCTTTGCTTCTCCATGTTGGGCATAGGTAGCCCCACGGTTGGAGGGTTGGCCCCTGGTGGGCTTGGGCTGAGCCCGTAGGCTCCTCCTGTGGCTCCACTCCAAGAACTCGGATCTCTGCCCACACAGCAGCTTATCCTCCAGGAGTTTCCCCAGGGACGCCATGAGCTCATGGGCTTCGGGAGGCCCACAGCTCATAAAGAGAGCCCTGTCTTTCTCAGATCTATGTCTTGTGCTGTCTTTGCTGGAATAAAGCAACTGAAAAAACTGTCCTATCTTTTTTCTGAAGTAACTTTCAGGAGGATGTGGCTTCTTGTCTGATTTTCCTTTAATAGGCTGGCTCTTTCCTGTTTTGGATGTCCCTAATCCTGGGGTCTCACTTCTATCACTTTCTTTTCTGGGTACTGATAAGGCCAGTATTTTCTCAACTGGTGTTAAATTCCTTAAGATACGTTTGAAGAACCCGGGCTCCTGCCGTGGATCCAAACTGACGCCTGCGTTATGTAAGTGGGTATGGAAGTCCTTGAAAACGGAAGCATCCTCACTGGACACACTGTTGGATGAAGATGGCAAGTAGCCAGTCAGACTCTCTGAGGTAAAGGACACATCACTTTCATAGTCTTCGGTCTGGCTCTGTGCCTGATTCTCCAACTTAAACTTCAGTTCTGTAAACAACTGCTTCTTAAAGTCCCACACTGCCAGGTCTTCAGGAACCGATATCCTTGATGGGTTGTGGTCTGCAGTTAGAACAGAGGCTGCTTTATTGCTGTCTTTATTTTTCTCTGTGGAGCTTCCCAACTTGCCGCTAGCATCAGATCCTGACAGCAGAACCCTCACCTCCGGGGCCCTGAATATCTCCCTGAGCATGCTGGGTGTCAGCACATGCTTTAAGTTCTTCTCCGACCTCCGTTTGCCTCCAGTGGTTTCTAGACGAGAAGAAGAACTTGTCACCTCATTCTCTGGCTCAGACGCAGCCACTTGATCCTGGCTGGGCTGCTCCTGACTAGGTCTGCTCTGTAGTTCAGCACCATTCAGACTCATGCTGTCCACACTGCTGTATCTATCACTCTCAGTTGTCTGGACCGTCTCCGTAACCTCATAACCAGTGCTAGACAGTAATTGTCTCGGGGACCCCTCTCCTTCCCTGTCTGCATGTGAGATGGTGAGGGGAAGTCGATGAACCGTGGTGGAGGCCGAGTTTGCTGCTTCCGTCTTGTCTCCATGAAAAAGGCTAGAGCTTCCTCTGAGGGGATGGGAGAAGTTACTTTTCAAATCCGTCCCAGAAACACTGTTTGAAGATGAGGGGACATCAGGCTGAGGGAGAGGCCATGTTTTAGCTTCTCGTAACATATAGAATTTTATGGATTCTATAACTTTGAGGGGGAGGCCCCACTTCTGACTCACTCGGAACCTTATAAGATGGGCTTCTAGCATCTTTTGCGTCTTGTGGTCAAGAAAGGGTATTTCGGGAATAGCGGTGCAGCAGTAAGCGTTGCCCAGTGGTGAGCTGCGGAGAGGCTCATCTTCAGCAAGCCAGGAACTGCACACCTTGGTTGGGATCCGACCCATGGTGATCTGCCAGAGCTTGCTGCTCACATGCAACCGAAGGGCGCTTCTTGCTTGTCTTTGGTCCAAGCTCTTCCTTGAGATGCTGAGTCGCTCGTTTTTCAAGTTAATTCTTGAGTGACATACCCACTTCCCCTCTGTCTCGGGTACAACCCTCAGATTGTTCAGTACATAACATCCCGAGATCATTTGTGGGTTGCCTAATGGGCATTTCCCTAGGATTTGGCCAAGATTCTTGGCTACGTCCTTTCTGAGCTGAGGCTTCATTGAGAAGCTCTCACAGAAACTTTCTGAGTGACTCGGTTCTTCAGTCCTGAGGTGGCTGGAGCTCTGGTCCCAGTGTACGGAGTGTTGAGGTTTAGCACATTTGCAGCTGTGGGGAGATGTCCCTGTTGGTTTGTATTGAGGGCCCATCACTTCCAGTACTCCTGTCCCGCCGCAGGGCTGGTAGTGCCAGGGTGGGGTTGGCTTGTATGGTCCATACGGCCCCAGGTTGTCCTGAAGGTCACTGCTGAAGTGAAAATGACCGGTGCTGGGGACGGAGACAAAGTCCTGCGAAGGCTGGCTGACCAATGGAAAGCCGGGAACCAGAAGACCAAAGGCAGTTTCATATTGCTGGTATCCAGGGACCAAGTCCCACAAACCAGCGTGATGATTCTGCAACAGGTCGCTTTGCAGCTGTTCGTTTCCCCTGGAGACCCCAGGGACAGTCCTGTTGTGTGGTGTTTGGAGAGCGCTGCCACAGGGCAGAGGGGACGACTGCATGGGAGAGAGTGGAGACTGCACGTGGGCCTGGGGAGGGACCTGAGAGAAAGGGAGCGTTGGTGGCTGGGGCTCTACGTTGGGAAAAGGCTGAGGATGTACAAAGGCGAGGGGCAAGGCGTGGGGCTGTGGAAGGGCTGGAGATCCGTGGTCCAAAATGGGGGCTGTGGCGGCTTTACAGACTCCATTGAAGAGCACAAGGTCAGGCTCTAGTGAGTAGCTGCTCAGGGGCACCAGGAGAGTGGCCACGATGGACTCGCTGTGCAGAGAGGGGAGACCCCAGAAGAGCTGGCTGTGTTTCTGCTCCAGGTCTCCCTCTAGAACCTTCACACACAGGAGCCGTTCAGAAAGTCCAAACTGGCCTGCTTTCCCTTTGAGATTCCAGCCAGTTTGGGGGGCTGGGGTGTCCTGATCAATGACAGTAGAACCCAGGAACTTCCATGGGGCTGGGAGATGATATTCTGACCTCTTGAGATCTGAAAATGTGTCATCTTCCTTTTTAGTCTTCTCAAGAGTCTGGAAAGTCAATGTCTTTTTCATTTGTCTCTTCGAGTTCCTGAATGTGAAGGACAAGTAAGAAATAGGGCCTGTTCCTGTTCACAAGGCACCACGCATCCTCAACACAGGAAAGCTTTCTGTGCTAAGAGCCAGTGTGGCAATCTCACAGTGTTCTGGGGAGGACGCTGGGGAGCCGCTGCCTTTGGACAGGAATGAGGGACGAGCTCCCTACTGGAGACAAAGTCTAGTTCAAGAGCAGGGTCATCTTTGGAGTTGGAAACATTTTCAGGGAGGGAGGTGTGCAGCTGGGATAGGGAATGCTCACTAGAAATTTCAAATCCAAGGGAGGAGAGGGTTCTCATGTAAGAGAGTTACCCAGTGGTGAGGATGGAAGCAGGTTCCCCAAGGACGTGCCTGGTCAGGTGACAGGATGGAGGAGAAAGTGGGAAAAGACTCAGGCAGAGAGGCTAGCACTGGGGTTCCAAGAGGGGCCAGGAGTACAGGGGAAGATTAGTACAGCCAAAAGAGCTAAGGAAGCCAAAGGGACCAGAGATGGGGCAGTTTGTACCATGCGGCCAGGCACAGCAGGTGGTTGGCCTCAGCAGGACACCGTAGTTACTGCAAGTAGCTGCTATCATGATACCCACCCATGGGGCTTCAAGAGCAAGGCACGGAGCTGCTGTAAGGGCCAACACAAGGGACAGGAGGCCATGGTGACCGATCTCAGACGGGATCACCTGATGCCTGTCATGATCTGTCACATCTCTGACCTAAAAGAGACCAGGTTTCTGCAAAGTTCCCACTCGAGTGTGCTTCCCAGTGACTCTCCCTCCAAGACTGGGACCAGCTGCCCTGAGCTCCTGGGGTGCACAGCCACGTTACAAAGGGAGCAAGGACAAAGAAAAATACGATTACCTTCTAGAACAGACAGCTTCTTCCCTTCTGTTTCTCTCTGGAAAGTTCTCGAATCTGGAAAACAAAAACAGTGGTTATGTGTAATTGTATTGTAAATCTCAATTGTCAATTTGGTGGGATTTACAATCCTTACAACGAATCTCTTCGAATGTCTGTGAGGCACTTTCTAGATTAGTCGATGACACTGGAAGACCAGCACTAAATGGCAGACTGGGGTCCTGGACTGCACACAGGGGAGAGAGTGAGTTGCCTGCCCTCGTGTATCACCACGTCCCGACGGCAGATGTGTTGTGGGATATTTGATCGCACTGTGAAACTCCGAAACCATGTTGATAGGGGGCAGAGCCAGAGACTGACAGAAATTAGCCATAGAGAGTGCGAAGGACCTGGGAAGATGGATAGAGAGACCCACAGGAAGGAGAAGGGAGGGACTTAGAGATTTGAAGGCCTTTTTGGTGTGGAGAGAAGCTCTCTTGCAGGATCTCTGGCCAAAAAGGAAGGTCAGCTGGTTGCTTCTCAGCTTCTCTGATCTAGCAGGTTTTCACCTCAAAATCTGACTCCTGAGACCTTATTGGAAAATAGAACAACTTAGATAAAAACAACACAAATGCAGTAAGTCATTTCAAGCTTCTGCCACCATGGTTTCCCCGCCAGGAGAGAGTGTGCCCTTGAACTATAAGCCAAAACAAACTCTTCCTTCAAGTAGCTTTGGTCAGGGCATTTCATTGTGGCAAGAGGAAAAGTAACTAATACAGAAATGAAGATTGAGACATAAGGATTCTACAGGAGTTCTTTTATGAGAAACACAGGACATCTGAGCACTCAGGAACAAAGAGAGCACTTTACATGATGTCAGGAGACAGAAGTCATGACTAAGCACCCATGACTAAGCAACCAACAGACCTTCTTAAACTTCTCTTGGCCAGAAAGGAGAAGGACCCAGTGCCCAGGTCCATCACACCAATTTCTGTATTTGTTACTTTTCTGTTGCCATGATAGAACACCATGACCAAAGCAGCTTACAGAAGGGGTTAAGAGCAGAAGGGGTTAAGAGCCACTGTGGACTGGGCAGGAACCCTGGTGGCAGCGACAGTGTGACTCACATCTGGAGCCCCCAGCAGGAAGCAGAGGAAGCAAACTGAAGTGTCGTGAATCTGTGAGCTCTCATAGCCTGTCCCCAGTGACATACGTCCCCCCAGCAAAGCCACACTCCCTAAGCCTCCCAAAGACCACCACCAAGTAGGGACCAAGCGTTCAAATGCTGAGATTATGGGGTCATCTCATTCAAACTACCACATTCCAAGATCCGGGGCTCTGAGGAGTGCTCAAATATGAATCTGTAAGCATTTTCTCTGAGAGCTCTTTCTTGAGAGGAACTGTGTCTTACAAACATCATCAGATCATGAGCCTGGGATCTCATGGAAGAACAGGAGGGGCGCCTTAGGGGGCTCAGGTCGGATAGGAAGAACCTTGGCATTGAATGTAACCCATTTTTGTTTTTTGTCTTTTCTTGGTTCTGCTCTGATATTAGGAATGAAAGAATGTAAGTAGCGTTAACGTGTCTCTCTTGGACATCTATTATCCAAGAATACTGACTTCAAATAAGTTTCCTTCCACTTATTAACTCTGAAAGGCAGTCATTTTCAATTGTTCTTTCTCTGGAAAACTGCAGGGGTTTGTGAGGTCCACGATCCATGCTCTCAGCTTCCAGTGCTCTACCCCAGGCACAGCTCGGCGTTTCTGAGGGCCTATGTTTGGGGGACAAAGCTCAGGCCCCAGGTTTTGCTTCAAGGCCCTCAGGGGCCTCTCCTGATGTCCAGCTTAGGGAAGGCCTGTTGAAGGGCAATGAGAGGACAGACTGAAGGCCAGGAGACACTGCTTTTCAGAGAACCCACCTTCTGGAACGAAGTCAATGAGCCCCAGACTCAGTGCTCGGCCCTAGCTCATAGAACTTTAAATTAAACCCAGAGAGGTAGGTTGTGGATCCAGATGAAAACCCTGGTCCTCCTTGGATCCGTGCCCCACCAGACCTCATACCCTAGGGCAGCAGTGTTCTTTCCTCTCCTCAGTGGCTCTCGTACTGCCTCACCTTTCTGAGGTCTTGACGTTTCCACAGGGATAAAATGAAGTCAGTATCAGGTACAGCAGGCACAGGAGCAGCAGCCCCTGCACTAAGGAAGGTGCAGTGGGTCAGTGTCCGAGAGCACGGAGCTGAAGCCCAAGCATGGTTCCGTCGTGCTGTGCAGAAAGGAGATGACCTTCTCCATAGTGTGGCTCACACAGCTGCCAGCTGAGATCTGAGGCTGAGTGGGCCTCAGTGCAGGCCCAGGTCTGCATCACAGAGCAGGGGAGAGTCATAGAGGGCTTGTGGAGGCGGGGGCGGGGGAGCCCTCAACACCTCCCTACCCCTGAGTCCCAGCAGCACCCTCTGCCAGAGCCTGTTGCTCTCTTCCCCACTTTCCTCACTTCGTGTTTCCCACAGAGCGTCT